TGCCTTGGGGGCTGGAAGGGGCCCGCGTTAACCCATCCTGGGGGAGATGGGTTTTCCCATCCCCGCTCCAGCCCCTGGAATGGCATGACAGCTCCCTGCCACAGCCTCCTGCAGAAAGGGTGAAGGGAAAACCACCCTGTGGGGCTTTGGGGAAGGCTGAGCCCTACCCAGCCAGGACAGAGCCCAGCCAGGGCTCTCAGGTTAGCTCAGCTGGAGCGTGGGTGTGAAAAGAGCATGGAAAACCAAACATGCAGCCCCAGGATATCCCACGGGTGCTTCCCTCCCGTGCAGCAGAAGTGTGGTGCAGCATCAGCCCCACTGCCCCCCATCCTTTTCCCCTCTGCTTTTCTGTCAGTCCATGCCAGCGGGCCAGCCTGGCTTCTTCAGGGTGCCGCAGACAGGCACAGGGCCACCTACTTGGCCGAAGTGCTGGGAGAGAGCAGTGCTGGTCCAGCCAGGCGAGAGATGTCTGGGTGAGGCTCTCCATGCTGGCTGTGGAAACCATGCCATTGAAAGACTCAAAGAGGGGCCGGATGATGATACTGAACTGATGGGAGCAGAGGAATTAAGGAGTTAAGGAGTTAAGCAGCCTTGCCCAAGACCAGGGTCTCCCACCTGCCAGGTGTGGGCAGCACTCTCACATAGGCAGCAGGACAACCGCCCTGCCTGGCCATGGAACAGACCTGCTGGATGCCTTCCTCAGCGCAGCACCACGCTGGGCACCAGCCCATACTGCTTGGGTTATGGGAACCTGAGTGTCACCCAGGGTAGGCAGTGGGAGAGCTGCATAACCCCTGTCATGACTGCGGCTGCCAGAAAAAGTTGATTAGACACAAGACAACTCTTCCAGAGCAGATCAAGGAGCCAGCCTAGCGCAGTGTCCTCTGAAGTACCCAAGAGCAGGGCATGACACCAGTGTGTCCAGTGTGCTCCCCTGGTGCTCCCAGCCTTCAGGGACCACCACTGGGGACTGGTGATTTGTGCATCAGCAGCAGATACCTCCACCATGAGCATGTCCTGGAGCCCACATCGGCTTTAGTATACCCAGTGTCCTGTGGAATGAGTTCCACAGCCCTCCTCAGCTCTGCATCAGGAGACACCTCTGCCTTGCCCAGACTGCCCTCGCTGGGTCAGACTGTGGGCAGCAATGCCTGCCCATCCCTCTGCCACTTGGGATTTTGTAGACCTCATAGTCTCTGCAGGCTTAATAGTCCCAGTGTGTCTAATTCCTGCTCACAGAGAAGCAGGTCCAGCCCTATGACCACCCATTCCTTGGCCCTTGGTCCTCTCCAACCTTTCCACTGCATGGAGCCCAGACTTGTGTCCCAGGCATGGGCTCACCTGGGTTTCCAGGGTGTGCCATGCAGCCACCAAGACCAAGCCATTACGTCCCTAGCTTTGTGTCTGGACCTTTCCTAATCCCTAGTTGATGGCTGCTGCCTCTCAGAGCCAGTTCCCATGTCACCAGGAGCTCTTCACTGCATGAGCTCAGCTCTGCCAGTGACTTTCCTTCTCCCTGAGGACTGACCATTTACTCCTACTCCCTTTGCTCCTTTGTAGCAGAAGCTTTCTGCTAACCACAGCATCTCAGCGTGTTCCCACCATGTGCCCCTGGCTGGGAAACATCTCCCTGTGGTCTCCAGAGCCTCTCGAGCTGGAGGCACCCCACACGCCCGGGACCAGCGGGTGAACCAGAGGACCTGTTGTTTGGCGGAAGGGTCAGGGCAAGCAGCAGGCCTTGGCCGCAAAGGATACGATCCAGAACTTCCAGTTCTGCAGCGTGGAAGAACGGACGTACTCATCGAACATGCTGCGCATCTGGTCGAAGCGCTGGCGCGTGATGGGCACCCCCGTGGCTGGCAGCTGCTCCTGGCACAAGCTGTGGGGCACAAGCAGTGCCATGGGTCCGTGTTCAGGAGGCTGGGACCCACAGGGGCCTGCCCCATGGGGAGAGGCTCTGGCAGGACCTCAGCTCTCAGCAGGGGTGGGCAGGCAGTGTGGGGCATGGCCCCACGCTCTGGTCCCACACAGCACTGCCTCTTGAGCATCATCCCTCCTCTAAACAGGGTTTGAGGGGAGGACAGAGTCAAATGCAGGTCCTGGGAGGTGCTCAGGAGATCTGCTGTGTCTTGCTGCCTCGCCGGCACTACTGCTTGCCCTGCCTGGCTACCCTGATGCAGGCAGTGGCTCCCTCCCACCTCCCCCAGCCTTGCCCCTCCTTACTTGATGGAGCCATTGAGTGCCTCGATCTGCTCCCGCAATCGCTGTGCCTCGTCCTGCAGGGCTGCTCGCTCCTGCTGCAGCTTGCAGATGTATTCAGCTGTCTTCTGCAAGATGGTGGCCTTGCTGACCTGTAGGGCCGCAGGGTGAGATGGCGAAGGAAGCCCCTGGGGTGGGCACCTGGTGCTTCGTGCAGCAGGACTGGCAGTGTGAGGTGCCATGTTCCCTGTTGCTGAGCTTTGTCAGCTTCTGCCACAGGCTCCAAAGCCCAGACCACCCTGGCATGGCTGCACCATGTGGGTCTCCATGTGCCTGGTGTGGGCTCACAGCCTCCTGCCCCACGGGCTGCAGCGCAGGGCAGGAGTCCTGTGCACTGGGACAGACGAGGGATGCAGCATCCCCAGGTGACACACCGTGTCCCTGTGTGCCCACCCAGGTCCACGCAGCTCTGAGTGCTCACCTTGATGCTGGGCTGGGCACTCAGCGTGCTCACCAGGCTGTGCAGTGTGTCAAAGCCCAGCTTGATGTTGAAGCGTCTCTTCTGCTCAGCGGAGATGTGCGTGATGCGGCGGCTCTCCATCTGCAGGTAATGCCATCAGGCACCTTCTAGCAGCGGGGACAGCTCTGGGCCACCAGCCCCATCGGGGACAGGCTTGCCCAAAGTTCGCAGTGAGGGAGAGGGGGGGAGTTTGGGGAGGCAGCAGGAAAGTGGGGTGCATATAGAGATGGTGCCTCCATAGCAAAGGCAGTGCTTGCTCCTGCCGTACCTTGCTGGACTCGGGCCTGCCCCGATGGGACACAGGATGGTGCAGGGAGATGCCAGCACCCAGCCCTACAGTGATTCCCGGGGAAAGCTGGTTGGGCTTGGGCGAGTCGCTGCCTGGAAAAGGAAAGGGATGCTCTGGGGAGAGGGGCAGCAGCAGCAGCAGGTCCCGTGCTGGGACGGGCAGAAAGGAGCAGCCTGCAGCACTACTCCAGCCCTGGGGCAGCCACCCTGCTCAGCTGATGGAGATGCTCTGGTCCAGCATCCAACCACATCTTATTGCTTTGTCTTATCCCAAATTCCACTCATTTTACAGCTACTCAGAAATGGGAACCTCTGGGACGTGACATTTTAAATTCCTGGTATTTCTTGGGGTAGAAATCGCTAGGAGAGAGTCCCCAGGGCAGCGAGGCTGTGGTCTGCAGCACCAAAATGAAACTGGGA